ACACACACACACACACACACAAACACACACACACACACACACACGCACACACACTCGGCAATCAGCAGAGCGTCCCATTGCGCAATCATGCGTGTGCGTGTCGCAAGGTCACTGTGTGAGATGGATGTCCGGACGCGTAGCCTAGCGGCTCCTCGTCCTGAACCGGTCGCGTACACAGCCAAAAAATTTTAGGGCACAATTTGTTGGTCTACACTGAATCTAGCTCTAGTACTATAGAGCATAGACATCATATCCTATAATACTTGTTAGTTAGATTTCTATGCTATAGAGTATAGGCTAGTCGAGTATATACACTCGTCCGAGCCGACGCAGACCCCAGTAATGGTCTGTAATGCAGTTAATGACCTCAGTAATGCAGTTAAACCCGCACCCTCAGATTAGCAAAGCGGAGTTATAACGTCTGCATTTGCGGACAACACTGCATCCTGATCGGTACTGTCCACAAAATCACAAAAAGAAACTCTTGATAACTTTGAGTAAGTTTCACATATTTATAGATTTCAATCTTATAGTCTTCAATGTTTTCTCATGAACTTTGAAGACTATTATGTTACTACGATGTTACGAGGAGACGCATTTAGGTTCAAGGATGGAGAGCATTTTCGTCATTTTACAATGTAAACAAACATGTTCACGTATGTTCACACACACAAGCATTTTATGCATGCTCACTTCGAACTGCACGCTCGAAATTCCAAACTCGTTCCAAAATTGACCGCTCTTTTACTGCCGGCGCCACCGTCCAATGACATTGGAAAATTTCATGTTAAAATATAACTATTTTTCACACTAGATGGCGCCAAAGAGTCATATTTTATTTTAAGTACCATTGGACGGTGGCGCCGCCAGCGAAACAGCGGTGAATTTTGGAACAAGTTTAGAGTTTCGAGCGCACAGTTTCAAGTGAGCATGCATAAAATGCCTACTGCATTGCCGCCCACTGCTACTGTTATCTGTCTGTTTTATCAACTTTGTTAGTTTCTGTCTTACGTAATACCGCGAGACACTTACATAGTGTGACATTAACGTACTAAGTGACTACCATACCGAGAGAACACTACAGCCCTGCATAGCTCAGTTCAAGGATTCAAGGAGTCTTTGAATTAGTCCCCTTGACTTTGAAGACTAGCATTTATGAGGTTACCAGATTACTATTTCTTTTAACTTTGTTGAGAACAGAGTTCCGGTCTGCCAAACAAGGTCAAGGGAACAGTACTCATGCAGTAGTTAAAATTTTACAGGGTTTGCTGGCCGGTTTATCAGCATGGGGTGGGGTGCTAGATTGAGTTTGATAAGATAACTGCGCAGGCCCGGTTTGACAGAATTTTTAAGCCTTAATTTCTTAATGCCTTTAATGTTTATGCCTTTAATGCCTTTTTTGTTTGTGCCTTTAATTCTGATCATTTTTTCACTGACTCTCGATGCAATTGTAAAGTTGAGGTTAGGTAAACAGTTACTTGTAAGTAACATATTTACTATTTAGGTTAGTCTAGGACAGGGGTGGGCAAACTGCGGCCCGCGGGCCGCATGCGGCCCTCTACGGAGTTCTGTGAGACCTCCGGAAGCCTGCAGCAAATAAAAAAATTAAAATAAACAAATCAATAAATTTTTTTGAAAGAACATGTTTGTGCTTGAACCGAGGCTGACTTTTTCAGTGTCATACAGATTAGTGTTATATTGTCTGGATCGCTCTGCAACGCCATTTCAGCTAATTATGGTGCAGAGAGGGCGCCTTTGAGGCGAAACGCACGTATTATCTTAGAGCGCACCGCCCGATTTTTAAAGGTGTCGCCTACGCCTACTCCCTAACCCTAACCCTAACCATATCAGATAGTTACCAAGGTACGTTCCGGTATACCGGACCGTACCCAGGGTACGTTCCGGCAGTACCCAGGGAGACATAGACCCTATCAGCATTAGTACAAGGTACATGGCACAGCCTGCATAGTCAACTCAAAACCCTGACTGCCTGACGCATGTCAAGTGTCACACTCCTCGCTTTCCAGCCTCCCTTATAAAGCACTCGTAGATTTTCGTGGACTCATCTAGCTTACCATTCCTATTTTGTATATATAGGATATATATTTGCGCTGGGGACGAGACGGGGAGTTCTTTAATGTGAGTTAATGAGGCGCTGGGGACGAGACGCGAGGCACTGGAGATGAGACGTGAGGCACTGGGGATAAGATGCAAGGCGCTGGGGATGAGACGCGAGGCACTGGAGATGAGACGCGAGGCACTGGGGATGAGACGCGAGGCGCTGGGGACGAGACGCGAGGCGCTGGGGATGAGACGCGAGGCGCTGGGGATGAGACGCGAGGCGCTGGGGATGAGACGCGAGGCGCTGGGGATGAGACGCGAGGCGCTGGGGATGAGACGCGTACGTGATGACAAGGGGCAGGTGTGGGTGGGGAGTAAAATGACGCGGGAAGCGGGAAGCGAGAAGCAGCAACAAGATGACACGGGATGGGCTGTGGGGCATATGAGATCACGCGGGAAGCCGGGTGTCGGGAGCGAGATGCAGGGATATATGGTGCATTAGCCGGAACACTTTGTGATTGGTTGACTAGAGCGGAATTAGTGTAGAGTGTTGTACGGCACATTCCAAAAGGTAACGACGATACGGAGCACTGTATACTGTACACTCTCTACTACAGTCTCTCTCTCTCTCTATCTCTCTATCTATTTCTCTATCTCTCTCTT